CGGAGAGCGTTTGCCGCTCCGGCCGAGTGCGCCAGCCGTACCTCCGGGTCACGCGAGGCACCGCTTACCTCCACCTGCGGGAGCTGTCACCATCTCTTACGTGGGCGTATCCCTGCCGAGCTACTGAACCACATGCGAAGGCTTTTCGTATGCAATTGCAGAGGTGGCCCAGCCGAGGGCGTTTCTCGTTCGCTGTAGCATAGGGGGTACGCGCGGTCAACGCCCAAAATCGAATCCGTACGCGAATCGACGCACTAGGGGGCTGAAGTCCCAAACACGATTCTACGTCGGTCGACTAGGACGTATCCTATGTCGAATCGTGTTTGGGACTTCAGCCCCCCAGTGCGTCGATTCGCGTACGGGTTCGATTTTGGCCGTTGACCGCGCGTACCCCCTATGCTACAGCGAACGAGAAACGCCCTCGGTCGGGCCAACCTGCCTAAGTAAAAAAGCAAAGGTACGCACAACTGGACTGTCCTATGTCCAACACAACATCGAGTCATAAAGCATATGACCAGACCGCCCTAACTTAAGGGTACGTCTGGCTTCTGCTTAATTGACGACATGAAGCATAAAACTAGACTGCCCTAACTTAAGGGTATGTCTAGTCAACCTTAAACGAAGTTTACGTAGGGCATAGGATTAGACTGCCCCAACTTAGGGGTGTGTCTAACCTGCCTAAACAAACACAAACGGCAAATGGTCAGACCGCCCTAACTTAAGGGTTTCCAACCTACATAACATCAACGACAAGGGCATATTGCTAGGCCGCCCAACTTAGGGGTACGCCTAGTTAGCCTAAACAGTTTAAGTTACATAAGGCAATGCGACCATACCGCCCTAAGAACAAAGTACAAACGACGTATGACTAAGCCGCCCTAACTTAAGGGTACGCTTAGTCTCCGCAATGACAATATAAGAGAACAACCTTGAATACCTTTGCACAAACTTTATAATTTTCTCTCTTGTTAGGCAGATGATCAGACCTACCCAACTTAGGGAGACATCCAATCCTGCCTTGTGTTTAAAAGGGAAAATAAAAGAAGATTTATACTAACTCTCTGACTTTTATATTATCACGAGCATAGGACTGAACCGCCCTAACTTAGGTACGCTCAGCCTGCCCGGGTTACCTTCATTATATTCTTCACTTGCTTCTCTTCGCTTTTTGTTCTACCTGACTTACTGACTGACTTTCCCAGCTTAGGGTGCCCGGTCTGCCAGATAATATGAGTTCATATAATATATGTATCAAATTTTATACTTTGGTTGACCATTAAGTTCATAGCTCATGACTAAGCCGCCCCAACTTAGGGGTACGCTTAGTCTTATGCCTTTGTCCCCCTCAGAAGAAACACACACAGAACTAGGTCTACGCAACTTAGAATATCCCCAGTCCTATTTTCCAACAACCCAAAAAAAAACATCAGGATTATGAGTCCTCCCAACTTAGGGTGCCCATCCTCCTGTTCAGAAAACCCAAAAGGAAACAAGTGACTGGACCGTCCAACTTAGGATAGGCCCAGTCCAAAAAGATCATACATTCAGCCCAGCAAACATAAATAAAAAACAGCATTGAACCCACTCAACTTAGAGGAGCTCAGCCTTGGGTTGACCCAGTCAAACGCATGCAAAACACTTTTCTCCCATCTTCCCCCTAGTTCATTCTGTCTGAATTCACTCAAGGGAAATGTCTGATTTCTCACGTATAATTGTTGATTTACCTTTCACAATGCATGTCCTGACATACATAATAAAACAAAAAGTAATAACCTTCCATAGTTATATTCAGATACCCAAGGGACAACAATTAAGGGAAGGGATCACACATGTCAAACGAAATTATACCTGAAGTTCCCTGCCTCCAGAACCCCGCCTGGGCTCAGGCAGAGCTCCCTCAATCGGTGGGGGTAAGCGGTGCCTCGCGTGACCCTGTCCTGTCGTAGGGGCTCGCAAGAGGTATGGCTGGCGCACTCGGCCGGAGCGGCAAACGCTCTCTGCGACAAGTCCTGTCAAATCCTGCGTGACGTGGCCGGGAGGGTCCCCGTGCGGGACCGATGCGCCCGACACCGGGCAACGAGCACGCCCAAACATCGGCGAGAAAGAGAGAGTTAGAAAGAGTGCAAGGCGTGCCACTGCAGGTAGCGAGATAACCGGGGCAAC